ACAGAAGTCCTTGGTGTTCATACGCAATGCTTCATAGTTTAATATTTCTAAAGGACTCTCTGTCTCTGTCTGTCTGTCTCTCTTTCTCTCTCTCTCTCTCTCTTTTCTGTTTCTTTCTTTTTCTTTTTTTCTTTCTTTCTCTCTCTCTTCTTGAGCAATCTGTATTGTGAAATAATGCAACATTTCTGGAGCTTTTTCTTTCAATTTCTATTTCCTCTTTTACATGTCCTAAATCTATTCTTTTAGAAATTGGTTTTATTAACATCTCCCTTTTGAGGAATTATTTCTGCAAAGTTTTCAGTTTGTTATAGTACAGGAAAAAATAATAACAGGTAATCAGTTCTCTGCATCGAATTCTACTACTGGTTGTAATCCCACCCTTTCCAGACAGTATGTCCTTCCACCGACTATGGTTAAGCTCTAGAGACAATGGACTGACCACCCAACTAGGTGGCAAGCACAGATCCTGAAGATCAGATTTCAATATAAGTCACTATAAGGTTCATAAAAGAAAATCAACAAGAGACCATCAATGGTTCTTTAATACTAAAAGTAACTGGTTGGAGACATCCTAAAATATAAGTTTGTAGAAAAAAAAAATCCTCTTCGTAAGACATACTCTAACATGTAAATAAATATAGGTTTTCTATGAACAGCAACTCAACCTATTCCTTTCTCCTTTTAACCTTCTTAGATTTAGTTGAGAATTCATTTCAAGGAAAAATTTTCAGAAGGGCGCACTTAACAATTTTTTAAAATAAATATCTAATCTACAAAACACACTTGAAACCAAATCTGTTTGTGTAACTATAATAAGAAAATAAAAGATACATTGCCTTGAAATTCACAAAGGAATTTTGCTGAATATTTTTCTAATGACACTATAACAACTTCCACTATAATGTCCAAGTTACCAATTCCCTTTGAAGAATTGTTAAAATTATAAAAAAAAAAAAAAAAAAAAAAAAATTATTGCCTTTTTCTTAGTGTTGAACTATAAAGCAATTAACTCGCTTAACTTTCTACAATTCTTGTCACGATAAGATAAAAAAATTAAAAAATCACAGGATATCAGGTATCACCAAGGCTAAATAATGCCATCAGTATTAAAATAAAAACAATGCTCCTGGAATCAATTAAGTACCATTCCATGACACACTGTGATCCAACTACATAACCAAATTCTATGTTTGCAATATAACAATAACAACGGCCCATCAGAAGAAGTACTTCCGACAGTTGGCAGCACCGCATCGGCATTCAGTCTTTCCATACTGAAGTCCCCTGTTTCCTTTGGGAGTCTTCAGTATCATGTCTGGTGAGGTTGACACTGCTCTAATTCCTTCACTTTTCTGGGGAGTTGTGACCTCTCCAAATGCATCTTCAGTAGATTCTAACATTCAGAATAAATAAAGGAAGACATTAGCAATCAAATGTATGAAGTCCTAAATCAATGAGAAGTATGAATAACACACAATGTTACTTATATTATAGTCAAAGGATATGACCTCAAAATATTTCAAGTTATCCTCTCACAATATATTTTTACTTTACATGTAAATTATAATTAACAGCACATGATTACAAGTTGCATAATTTAGTTTTACCTGTATGAAAATGACAAAATAAGTAGACCTCACTGGTATAGCCATTCCCTAAAATTTGCTTCACATAAGGACATGCAAATATTGTATATTTTCGTTAATTCCTTTCTCTGGTTAATAGATATACTGACAGAAACACTGACTACAGCCCACCTTTTCCTTGATCCAAGTTTCCATTTGCCATCTGCTGGGAACCGAGTCCAGAGTTGTAGTCGAAGGTCAATTCTTCTCCCTTTTTTATGTCTCTTACACTAAATAAAGCAAGTCTAGGAAGATCGGGGTCAAGGCAGTTCACCCAAACATTAAAGACAACGAGATTTGGATCACACTGGAAAACAAACCATTAGTACATAAGAAGACTATACAAAACCATTCAAACTGATTCAGCAAAGATAAAAGCTATTATACTACACTGACAGAGGATTGACAGAGGATACTGACATTTAACTCAAGTCTGTCTGATTTTTAATGGTGTAAAACATTCAGTGATAATACAGCAGTGCAAGTTAACCCACGAAAAATAGTTGTGAATAATAAAACTAGCCAGAATCTTAAGCTTCTATGAGAGTACCCTTAAATTCATTATCCTACATATATGATTAATAATTACCGAGTGGTTGATGAAATGCGATACATTCCCATATTTTGCAGCATCAACTGTGTAAAGATTCTGATCTCCTTTGTCATAATCTAGATCAAAGAGATATGTGCAACCTTGGGCATCTGGAAAAGAATAAAAAAAAGCCTAATTTCAATAAATCACTAATAACTAAAGTACACTGAACTAATTCCCCCCCTACACACACACATACACAAAAATAATAAAAATAATGTGACATCACGGACTCCATGTCTTATCATTATGTATGACCACCTTTTTTTCTGTGCTCTTCTGAAATTGGCCTGCTAGCTCCAGTTACTGTACAGTTTTCAAGTCAATATAAATTCAATTTTGTATCTCAAACAAACTACTGTCATACAAACCATAGATTTTCCCTCGTCTTTCAGCTTCCTCTGAAGTAATAACTTCTCCAACATACTCCGTAACAAAAGTATCTTTTTTAATACTTTCCATTGCTTTGACTCCCCAGCCACAACTATTTGCAGTTCGGAAGATGCTTAGGCTGACATTCCTTCCTTTTTGTACTACTCTGTTTGAGCAATGCGAGTTGCATTTGCATCTTTTATTACACTCATAAATTGGTGTGCCAAGTGATACCTAAAGAGAAAGGAAAAAAACAATCAATTACACCTAATGCAAAAATCCTTTGCAACACCTACAATGATGCCTTAAATAAAAGTCCTGATATCAGGGGTTTTAATGCTTTAATTCAACTTATGGACTAAACTTTTTTTTTCTTTTTTCTTTTTTACTAGGTGTGCATATAATCCTCAGATTCAGTTACTAAAGGCCCATTTAATTGACTGTAGGAAAAAAAAATCAATCCTCAATATCATAAAGTAAGCTGGTGGTTAAGGTGTAACCATACCACACATAAGAGATATGAAATAACAAAATGTGCAAACAGCAGAAGAAAAATACAATTGCTGAAAATAAAAAAAAATAAAACCTGAAGAAAAAGGTTTTCATGCTACTAGGAGGACAGTTAACAAGAAACACTGATGCATATCATGACGGTAATACGGGGGAAGTAAACTGGGTCATGATGAAAAAAAAAAAAAAAAAAACAATCTACATCTTAACCAAATGCCACCGGGAAAATGTTGCATTGACTACAGTATTCTATTGTGAAATGTCTCCACACATACATGGCTCTGCCAGTCCTCAAAAAGGAGTTAATTAGTAGACGATGTGACCTCAACTGATTTCACCTCTCCTTTTTGTGGGAAAATGCTTTTTTAGCAAATGTTATCAATATATACTGTTATTTTTACACCAGATAATAATATTGAAAATCAAGGAAAAGGGTAACAGTGAGACAGGTTTTTCATAATTGACACACTGATGATGGAGTACTTTAGAAGCCATGTATGTGTAAAAACAATTACTAAATCTAACAACTAGTGGGCATAGCATCCCCCGCATTATGTGGTTAAAGACTCAAAAGCAAGGTATCATGGACAGGTCCTTTCTTGTGGATCTTCATCACACTTCCAAAGATCACTGGACCATCATCACAAAAAAGAAAGAAAGAAAGCAAGATGATAAAGAAGAGACAGAAAGAAAGAAAGAAGAGACAGAAAGAAAGAAAGAAGAGACAGAATGAAAGAAAGAAGAGACAGAAAGAAAGAAAGAAAGAGAAGAGAAAGAAAAGAAAGAAAAGAAGGAAAGAAAAAGAGAGAAGAAAAGAAAGAAAAGAAGAACGAAAGAAGAAAGAAGAAAGAAGAAAGAAAGAAAAAGAAAGAAAAAGAAAGAAAGAAAGAAAAGAAAGAAAGAAGAAAGAAAGAGAAGAAAGAAGAAGAAAGAAAGAAAGAAAAAAGGAAAGAAAGAAGAGAAAGAAAAGAAAGAAAGAAAGAAAAAGAAGAAAAAGAAAAGAAAAGAAAGAAAGAAAGAAAGAAGAAAGAAAAAGAAGAAAGAAAGAAGAGAAAGAAAGAAAGAAGAAAGAAAAGAAGAGAGAAAGAAAGAAAGAGAAAGAAAAGAAAGAAAGAAGAAAGAAAGAAAGAAAGAAAGAAAGAAGAAAGAAAGAAAGAAAGAAAGAAAAAAGAAAAGAAAGAAAAGAAAGAAAGAAAGAAAGAAAGAAAGAAAGAAAGAAAGAAAGAAAGAAAGAAAGAGAGAAGAGAAAGAAAGAAAGGAGAGAAAGAAAGAAAGAAGAGAAAGAAAAAGAAGAGAAAGAATACTTACTTTTAGTCTCCCATACTTATTGTAGGCAAACCAAGAATTCATCTGATCAGGACAGCAGGACTTGCAGTTGTTGAAACAGTCCTCACACTCGCAGCCCAGCACTGGATCCGATGGGATTGTTACCCCTGGTCCAGCCTGTTCCATAGAAAAACAAATTCATTTTACTTATAATTCTTAACAAGTAATGCTGATAGGAGGAGCTATAGATTCATGAACATGACATTAAAATGACAAATATATCAAGAGGCCTTTTAGTTTCAGGAAGGTGTAGAATCTTTATGTCTTATGTTTGTTACTATTTAAGCATACACTGAATCTGAAGTAAAATTACTTACTCTTAATTCATTGATGTATATAAAATTCATTGCTGGTAGCTCAAGGTCAACATTATTCTCCACACTCAGTTTAGCAGGATCACTGCATACTGAATTGATTTTTCGCTCCCACATGCGTAGTTCAGCTAACTGCTTTTTGCGCTTTGTCTCTACCTCTCTTAACGTTACATGCTCCACTAATGTCTGTATTAGTTTATCATATCTCTCTCTCTGCCAAGTGAATATAAAAAAAATCATAAAACATATATGCAATCTGAACAATATCATACAAATCTTGACAGCCTTACATTTTATCACTTTCTATAACAGAAAACTGTTACTCATGAAATTCACATAAACATCTATGTAAGGGACAGTCACACTGGTCTATTCTGTCCAGGGATCCTAAGAGAGAATGGGATGCTTCCCAAGCTGGGATGGGATCTGAGATAAAAATCCCTAGCCAGCGCAGAATTGGTGTGTCAGTATTTCATCGCTGGCCAAACCAGGAAATATATTGCCAAAACAAAAACTTTAATATATTTACAAGTAACCTCATTACTTCAAATCCTAAAAAGGGATTATTTTATGTTAAAACCAATCTATTTTTGAAGCACCAAGACATATTGCATCAAATAATAAGGTCTCATTAAATTTGTACAAAAATCAGATAAACATTTATTTGACCAACAAACATCAACCCACTCCGACACGCCAAAGACATGGAGGTCTCTTCAGAAGTTATTTACTCCTTGTTGGATAAAGTGAAAGCCAAATGGCCGTTATGCAATACCAATCATAAGGATTATAAAAGCAAGAATTAGAGAAGAACATTAATGGATGAAATAAGCAAGGAACCTTGTCCCAAACGTTGTAACCGCTGAACTGAGATGTTAGATCTCTCCGAGGGGATACTGTATGTAGTGTGACCAATACTTTTGTAAACAATTTGACCAGACTTCAGCAAGGCTGTCTAGGGATCCCAGGAGAGAGAAGACTAGTATGACCATTGCTTAAGGCATCATTTTCAAATTTGAGAAAATCTAAAAGAATAAAGGAAACAATTGCCACTTCCTACCTTTCTTGTTGAAATAACTTTGTCTGCTAATTCAGTAATTTTAAACTCCATCTTGGGAACCACTGGCTTTGGAGATAACAAGACCTTTAGTGATTTCTCCAAATTCTGCCTGGCTGGGTCAGATGCAATAGCCAGGATTGCCTGCCGCTGCAGTTCCTTTGTACTTGGGTCATTGGGCAGTGGATAACTGCTGAACCTGAAAATCATTTAAATCAAAATTGTAAAGAAATAAAAACCATCATGATTAACACATAATTTTAAACATACCTTCTCTTTTTTACAACATTCAGGATATAGGATGGCCAAAAAGCAACAGCTTTTTCCTTAATCATAATATCATAGTCATTGCAAATGACGAAAGCTTCTAATAGCTTTTATTCTTATTATTCTAAATCCAGCTTGAAAAGTATAGGAGGAAACCAAGATATCTTTATAAAAAGTGCCGAGTTATGATGACCATGCTACATAGGCAGAGAAAATTCAACACCGAGTCAAGGCTGGTCGTACATGCCCCTGCACCAAGAATAACTCACATAAATATTCAGGCCCACAACATATATTAAATCACCAGTAGCCATTAACTATATATGAAATGCATACAAGCTTGTTTGAGCACAGTGTATGGATAAATTCAATAAAATAACCACAGAAATGGTTACATACAATTTTCTTTATGTTGTGTGCATTTAATGTGATAGCATTATGAGGATTATGAGGAGCATAGATATCCTCCACCAAAAATAAAAAAAGAAAAATGCATGAATAAATATCTTTGTTTACATCCCAACTCAAAATGGAAACCAATCTTCATCTGCTTATGCCCTTGTTACACCAAGGTGGACTTTAATTATCATATGTCTGTTTCCTGCTTCATGTATGGAGCAACAAACCAACAAACTCCCTGAAACATTCTAGCTCAAGACACTTTTTAAACTCCTTAAATATCTATTTTGAGCCAAAAAATTGGGGGTTAATATGGAGTTTTGCTTAAGGCCAAATCAGTTAATCAAAAGTTTACTGTATCATGAAAATTGAGTTGAATGTTGCAAAAGGAGATATTTTTCTTTCATTTGTTCAAACAGAATTAAAAAAAAAAAAAAAAAAAAAAAAAAAAAAAAAAGCTAGACTTTGATGGTAACTTTATAAAATTATTACACCCTCATAAGGAATGGTTCCTGTAAGGATTTCAGTTTAGTTATTTTGTAGGATTTATTACATGCAGATTAAGTAACAAACGCAAAAAAGTGCATTCCACTGACAAAAGGAGTAATACTTTTAAGTATAATTTCAAGAAAATTAGTAACAATGATTGACGAAGATAACTAAACATGCTGTAAACCAGTGGCTCTGAACCTCTTTCAAGTCACAGACCCCTTTAAGAATCTAATGATGAACTCTGGAGCCCCCTCCCATAAATATTCACATAAACAATTTTGCATGGAATGTTCATAATGTATTTTATCTATTGAGATTTGATTGCCTCATGAATGTGAGAGACAAGTATTATTAAACTTGAAGGTAAAAATCTAAAAAGTCACGCTCCTTTTTATGAAAAAAGCAATGGTCAGGTTTGTATTGCTCACAAACTCCCTAAAACCCGGGGGTGGGGGGTCATGAATCCCTGGTTGAGAGCCCCTGTTTTAAATAAATTGAAAATCTGATGTATTGGAAAGGCATTGAAACTATGTTGAGGCTTTTATTTCATTTTCCATTGAACTTTTTATCAACACTTTATACATTTTGAGAAAACTATTGGTTAATGGTTGAAATAAATAAATGTGTTAGACATCAAAGGTCATATGGCACTATTGTAAAGTATTTTTTGGGAAAAGAGTAAAAATTACTAAATTATTAGACAATATGTGTCAGATAGGTTACAGAGCATTATAGGATAGTATGGTAGTGAAAAGAGTAAAGAGAGTAGAACAAATCAAGTAAAGCAGGGATTAGCAAAAAGGGGAAGGGGATATGGGCATAGGGTGATTAGATCAAATGGAGAGGGAGAGGAACACTGGATAAGGAAAACTGGCAAAGGAGCCATTATGAAACAGTTAACAGGTAACACACCTAGAGATGGATTTTGGAGAAGTAGGAGAATAAATCCAGGGAATGAGATAAAGGAACAGGGAAAGGTGGTGAAGCATCAGGAAGAATGTCAAGGAGGGGAAGGATCTGGAGGACATTGTTGCAACAGAAAGGAGTCAAGTGTGCATCCAGGTGGAAGTGGTAAGGATAATGGGGAAAGGGGAGGGGATTGGTGTACCTGGCACAGCAGAGGATGGGGAGTGCTGGGAGAGTAGGAAGAGGGGTGGGGGGAATTTGAGGAAGAGGATGGATATCAGCAAATACTTTGAATGTAGAGGGGATAGGAACAAAGAGATTGGAATGTTATCTTGGGTCATGTTTAGGAAGTTTTGGATGTCTTCAAGATTTTTCGGAGGGGAGATGGGTGGAGAGGTCTGAGAAACTAAAGTTTTCTTTTGAGGAGGAGAAGAGGGGATAGATGTCCAAGGAGTAAGGGAAGAAGTGGGTGAAGGAATGGATGTGGTAGATGGGGGAATGCTTATATTGCCTATTGCAACAAGTAAAGTGAGAAGGAGGGGGTAGGCATCAGGAAAGTGGTAGAGACTGGAATATCTGGGAATGTGGTAGAGACTGGAATATCTGGGAAAGTGGTAGAGACTGGAATATCTGGGAAAGTGGTAGAGACTGGAATATCTGGGAAAGTGGTAGAGACTGGAATATCTGGGAAAGTGGTAGAGACTGGAATATCTGGGAAAGTGGTAGAGACTGGAATATCTGGATTTAGACTAAAAGGAATTTGACTAGGGGAGATAGGAAGTAGGATGGTTCAGGGTAGAGGGAAAAGATGCTTGGGGAGATGCTGAGAGATCTTGAGATGGGAGGGGAGCTGAGCAAAAAATTGTTCTGGAATATAGTATAGTGAAACCTAGTTTGAAATGGACATCCGCTACCTCAGATTTTAGTTTGTAAGCAAAACAGCTCCTATACATTACGGGAGCCATCACAATGGGCACACATGCATGACTGAGCATAGTAATTTGAATGGTTTGAATGGTTGGGCACATAGAGGACAGCTGGTGGTGGAGTGATAATATGTGGCTAGGTGGCCAAAACACCAACAGGACACTCCAACAATACAAAATTCATGGAGGTGGTCATGCCTATGGAAGCTAATCTTGGCAATATTGGTGTAGGAGGAATAGTGTAGCAGTGTACTACCACTGCATCACAGTCAACAAGGCATGCAAGCTGATTGTTTTCACAGTCTAACCAGTTCTTGTCATAGAGAGGACAATCAGTTGAGGAGACAGAAACAGTTCCAGTACAAGTATTAAGAGAGGAGTGATGCTGGGCAGGAGTAGGTGTTCCACTGAGGTCAGTCGGGATAGGTAGCTTGGAACTCAGATGAAACTGTGACAAGGTGTAAACAATTGGAATGACTGCGAAAGGAAACTCTGACTACTTGTTTTGAAAGACACTGTTGGAAAAGAAGAGTATTGTCAGTGTAAGGGGCTGTAGGGAGAATCACAAAGAATCAATCCCACTTGGCTGGGTTACAAAAGTACTCAAAGGATGTGTAAAGATGCAAGCAGTAGAAGGACAAGTGTGGGAGGAAGATGGGGTGGTGTGCAGTGAGGCATGCTGTAGGGAGGAGAGGGAGGGCTAGATAACTAAAAAGACTGTGCAGTAGGAGATGGAGTAGGGAAGTTGGGAAAGAGGAAAGAGCATATTCTGAAAGCTGAATAATGATCTTGGTAAATGATTCAGAGGTAATATTAGTATCAGTAGTTAGATAGGCTAGTTGATGAAAAGGAAAACTTTAGTACCCTAATAAAGATAAAAAAAATTTCATTATTGGCCATGGAGAGCCTGAAATAAGTGAGGAAAAGAAACTGTCTACCCCTCATGGTCCCTCAGGTGATTAACCAAGGGAATACCATGCCCATGGCATGGTATTCTGTTCAGAACTGACACAAAGCCCGCCTTTTCTCCTTTCAGAACAGCACTCACACCTTAGGAAGTGGACAGAAGGGGATGAAGAAAAGAAGGAAAAGGAAAGGTGGAGAACTAACAACCATGCAAAATTAGTTTGAGGCGAGGGCTGAGGTCCACAGTAGGGGTGATCCCCTACACTGGGCTTTAGTCTCCATCTCTTAAATCCCCATCGACAACAAGCAAGGGTGTAGGGGGGGGTAGAAAACTAAAAGGTAAATTTCAAACATCCTCTTAGCAGTTTTCTGTGCAAGTAAGTTTATGCAAATATTCTGTGAGAATAATACTGCAGATAGTCATGGTATAAAGAAGCAAATATACTATCATTTGTCTGTGAATAATAACTACTTCAAAATTCAGCATAATGTTTTCTACAGCAAAAATCACTATATACCTATAATCCAAAAATTAATTAAAGATTCTAAACCAAATACTAATATTTTAAGTTACATGAGTTGCTGTAATTCCAGGCTGGCTGAAAGAAATTAGACAGCAAAATTAAAAACAGCAGAGCTATTATCCAAACATTTTCCTCTGACACCAAAAGTTCTTAATAGCTTTACTTGTAAATCTTATTTTTCATTTTAATTCTTAATTTACATTAATCTATAACACTAGACAATCAGTGCTATTCACTACTAACATGACAGTTTTGAGGGAGAGCAAAAACACACATTCTGGGAGAACAAGTCAGACATCATTTGTTTCCTCCCTCAAAAATTCAACATTAATGATGCAACTACATTCTCATTGAATGTACCCATAACCTTATTTACCCTAAATATCCCACAAATAGCTAATCACCATGTTAACCCATTGACACCCAGAAAATTCTCCATCTGTTTTATGTTGATTCTTTTCTTTTTTCTTAGATCCCTAAGTTTTCTTTGCCACAGTCATGCACTGTATGTCAGAAAGTGGCAGGGAGTTTTCCCTTATCTTTCTTCATATCAATGGGAAATACACTATGTCTTCTAATATATCTGGTAGGGACTGGTAAGTTTCCTCTAACCACACCCGATATCATATCCATACTCTTATTCCCTTGCTGGCCTTCTTCTCCCTAAGCAAGTTATAGTCATGTTCTTTACCAGTCTCCTCTTATACATGGAACATATTAAATGTAAAGTAATAAGTATGGTACTAAAAGACATATTTCCCATAGCTAACCCCCTATCTTTTCCACTCCTATATTTGCCCTCCACACACCATAATACTGTGTGAGAGTCATCTAGTATATCATTACCTTTTTACTAAATTATATTACCCAAGAGGAGAATATATACCAGCTTGAAGTCTTCCAGTTCTTAGGGGATTAAATGATAAAATAAAACCACAGTGGATAGTGTGTATATACATGCAATCCCAGTGTCAATGGGTTAACATACAACAGATTCCCTTCACAGCATCAATAAACAATGAAATAGCTTCCTTACAAACAATTAAGGTGTCAGACACCCATACGAAAACACCTACTCCCAAACATACAACAAAAATGATAAAACAATGGAAAAGCAACTTTCTAACTAAAATCTATAGCCTCAAAAACATTATTTCATTCAATAAAGAATACATTTTGAAAGCATATACTTACTCTTCTTCTGATGTCAGTCCATCTCTATGAAGATATCTTGCCTTGTAAAAATCAACAAGTAGTTCTGCACAGCTGGTCAAGTTTTCTGAAGGTTCCCAGGTGTTGTCTTCCGGACCATAGCCTCGCCATAATACATTGTAAAAGTACTGACCCTGTGTTGAAAATAATCATGTAAAGTTTTCATATTGTCATTTAAATAATCCTACAGTTGTACCATTTAGAAATTCAATTATACAATGCAAATTTTTGTTCTAATAATACAATAAAACTATAAATCTGTTACTGGTACATATGCACAAGAAGATATGAGATATAGAACTACTATAATTCTGATGAATGGTCAATGGTTAACTGTTGAAACAAATAAATATGCTAGACATCTGTCATATAGCACTATGGTAAAGTATCGTGGTGAAAAGTGTAAATGAGTTAACGATTAGTATAAGGAGTGTTAAATGTCAAAGGTTATAGTGTTACAGGGTAGTATGATAGGGAAAAGGGCAAAGAAGGGATGCAAATGATGTAAATCAGACATTCATACAGGAAAGAGTTAAGGGTGTAGGGCAACTGGATGGAATGGGGAGTATCTATTGTTGATTGTTAGGGAAGCGATATGAACATTGCTTTATAAAGAGATGAAGGGACTGGGGAAGGAATATCCGGAAAAGCATCAAGAGGGGAGGAATCCAGAGGAGAACACCGTTGCGACAGAAGGGATTTACGCGAGTATCCAGGTGGGAGAGGTAAGAATAATGGAGAACAAAAAGGGAATGGTGTACATGGAGAAGAGGATGGGGTTTGTTGAAAAAGAGGAGGAAGAGGCATATGGGAAACTTGTGGGGAAGAAGGATGGATAGCGGCAAATGCTTTGAATGTAGAGGGAATACGAAAAGTGGGATTGGAGGGTGGGTGAGGGAGTGAAACATTTTCTTGGGTCATGCCTAGGAATTTTTGGATGTCTTCAAGAGTTTCTGGAGGGGATTTGGGTAGAGAGGTCCAAGAAACAAAGGATCTCGTGAGGAGGAGAAGTGGGAATAGATGTTCAAGAAACAGAGGAAAAGGAGGATGTAGGAGAGGGTGTGGAGAGCTAAGACAGAGTAGAATGTTTAGGTTGTCTGGTGCGATCTGTAAGTGAGGGGGAGGAAGGGTAGGTATCAGAGAAGTGGTAAAGATTGGAGTATCTGGATTTAGAATGGAAAAGGGATTTGACTGGGGGACAGGAAGAATAGAGGTAGGATAGCTCTGGGTAGAAGGAAGATATACTGGGGCATATACAAAGATATCTTGTGGAGATGGGGGGAGGGGGGGGTGCAGAGCATAGGAATGTTTTGGAATAGGTAGAGAGAGAAAAACCTCGTCGTCGTGCTTCCTGTCTAGCCTCACAAATTATAGTCATGTTTAGAGTTTGAATTTGAGAACTGCTACCTCACATTCGAGCTTATAGGCAGAGCAGCTCCTATAAAATATGGGTCCATAGAGGGCAGTGGGCTGTGGAGTGTCAAGTGTTTGGCTGGTTGGCCAAAACACCAATATTTCTGACATTGACGGGGAAGGGGTCAATATGGTCAGACATGGTAGGACAATTCACCAATATAAGCTTCATGAGGGAGGTCATGTCTAAGGAAAGTAATCTTGGCAATATTCACTTGGGACTTACGCTGGCCTCTGGGAGGAATAGCATAGCACTGTACTACTACTGCATCATAATCAGCAAGGCAGGTAAGTTAGCCATTTTCACAATCTGACCAGTTCTTGTCATAAATGGGACAATCAGTCAGAGGGATAGAAACAATTCCAGTACAAGTATTAAGAGAGAGGTGAGGTTTGGCAGGAATGGGTTTGCCATGAACTTGGGATTCTGATGTAACTGTGAAATCATCAATGCCAAACTTCATATAAAATTCTACTCTCTTGTGAATGGGTTCATAACGTCATAATTATAATATAGCAACGATAATATTGGCAATTATAATAATAATGAAAATAATCAACAACAACAATAATAATTAATAATAATAACAATAACAACAAAAAAGTAATAATAATAATAATAATAATAACATCAGTAGCAATTATATTGATAATATAATATATTAATTAATCTAATTCAGGGAATGGGGTAATCAAGCAAGATCGTGTAGTCCTAGCAACTGACTCCCTGGTGACTAAGCACTTGTAAAGCCAACTATGCGTAAACAAAACTGTTAAAACAAAACTACTGTGGATAGTGCATGTAGCTGGCACCAATGGGTTAAAAAAAATCTAAGGGTAAAAAACTACTGCAAAATTCAAATTTTGATTTCATCAACAAGAAGCACAAAATCATTCACACCACCACTTCTTTAAAAAAATCCTCTATAGAGTCTTACCTCACTCCTCTTAAAGTTGACAATGGTCTCAACTTCGTATTCTGCTTCATCCTCCTCCTGAGATACTACACTGCTATTTTGTTTCTGGTTCTCAGCCTTGTCTACTATTGTAAGGTAATCCTCAATCAGACTTCTGCGTGGTCGTTTAACATTCTTTGGTGATTGGGGGCCTTCTGAATGCCTGTGGCGTCTTTTCTTTTCTGGCATTCGAGCTTTAGAAGATTCTGCCGACTTTTGTAAGGGTTTGCTTGTTTCATAGCCAGGTACCAACAAGTCTTCATCATTGCCAGCTTCTGAGGCAGGGGGTGTAATGCTGACTGTTGCTTCATCTTTTACAGCATTGCCTGAAATTTCACCAAAATTTAGTGCATACCCATGGTAAAGATAAACAACTCCTATCTTTATCATCTGACTTAATAAAGCTTTTATTATAAAAGTAAACACGATCATATAAAAAATATGTAAATAAATAAAATCTCAAACACATATTTACCTACAGAAACAAAGACATGCACTGGCATTACTTTCCTAACTTTTACACCAACCTAACAGAAAAAGTTATTTCTTCAAAATAAAACTAGTCATGTACAAAGCTAAAAGAAACTCATATTTCAAGGTATTATGATAATCACTTATTTCCCTGAATATGCACAATAATTGAACAGGCTCTCCATAGAGACTATAATATAAATACAAAAATTTTGTCACACACAGTTGACTTATATTCCTCTTTATAGGTCATAAAAGTTTTGCTCTTGCTCTATCCATTAGATACCATACCATTGTGCTGAGGTGTTTGGCCAATGTTCTCGCTGGACTGATCCCTTTCTGTCTTTAGACCTGATGCACCTGTCTTTGCTGTTGTTTCTGGCTCCAAGTCAAAATTCTGTTTATCCCAGCCACTCAAGACATTTCCCATATCCAGTAAGTTCCCTTCCACCTAAATAAGACAATGAAAATAATAGAGTTATATATGTTATATTACTAAAAGTAAAGTAAACATATCTTACTTACTTTGGAAATGGTCACACAACACAAAAATGCAACATGTTGTTTTTTTTACAGCACCTCTGAATAAAAAAAACTGAAAATACAAAACCTTTTTTTTTTTCTGTACTTCATGATTTAACGCAACATGAATGTATATATGTATAGTCCTCTCTGACTGTGGGACCTTAGGCCACCTTCACAAAAAGGTTATTGAATTTTCTTTGACATATTTAAGGTCTCTCCTAAAAACAGTTATTGAATCCAAAATTAGTCAAACCTATGAGTCACACTTCTGTTGAATTACAAAGTTAACACAAAATTAGAACTAATATTTACATTTTTAAAAGACCTCCTATTAACCATAATTGAATAAAAATTATGAAAAAAATATTAGTGCACTGATCCTCAAGTACATAATGACAGCAACATCACATACTTAATAAAATTTATGTTTACACAGCACCCTCTACATTTGTTATGCTTGTATCAGCTGTGAAAGCATGTAGCACCATTTGTATTTATCCAAAAGAAAACTAGGAACCAGCCCAATTAACATTTGGCAAGTAAAAATTTGGCATGAAAGTTTTCAAATCATTCCTGATGCAGAATTATCTTCAACAACCGTAAACTCGCATTATTGTTATCTGCTTCTGTCAAAGACAAACTTTGGAGTCTATGACCTTCCTTGAATACTGCCCCCAATTCAAGTCTCAGACTAGTGTCTTTGGTCAGGTCTAGCCACATGAATCATCTAAGGATGACCTCAAGCATTATTTGCCCATATCCTGCTTATTCTTTCACAGGCAGTGATGATCTAGTCAGTGATAATCTTACTTTTTCAAATATCACTGAACAGTTATAACACCATTAAAAATATTTTGAAGCCAGCTGGGAGGTGCCAAGCAAAAGGCGGTGTAATTGCAACCAAAATAGGAGGCTAGACAACTGGATCATGGCCAAGTGTGAATAATGGAACCCAGGCTTAAAGCATTTCCATTAGGCTCAAATAGTGGGCATGCCCAAGAAGCAATGTCAGAGGTAGGCAAATTACTGGTTAAACAACAGTTTCACTTTCAAACCAGTTATTTAACCAGCAGTCTGCCTATCTCTGATGTCACTTCTTGGGTATGCCAGCCAGTCAAGCCTATGCATTTGGACATGCCTTAACCTGACATTTCACTTCTCAATACAACCTCATTACAACCTTGCCAAAGCTCCTTCCTTATTCAAAGTGTCTTTACTATGTTTTTACAAACATTAACTTTTTTTTTAAGTGGCTAACAAAGTCCACACTAATCACACTTTAGGTCTGCTATATATGTTACAAGTGTCTTATCTTGCTGTAAAACACACATGACTGTTGTATCTGTTCTTGCTCTTTTCCCTTTTTATATGTAGGTCTAATACATCTCCTGTAGATATAAGCACTCTATTATACTACAAACATTAAAAAAGGTGCAAGGCTGTGAGAGAGAGAGAGAGAAAATTTATATAAAATCTAATGGGTTTGGAGATAAACAAAGATTAAAAGCAATCATTACAGGGCTAGCAGAAAAAACTGTCTTTGAGTTAGACCAAATATTAAGCATTCTCACTCATACACATTGTCTTATAGGTAAATCTTATCAAGTATTGTATATTTCATTTGGTTATATTAATTAGTTCTCTTATTAAAGCTGAGCTAGATCTCTAGATGTAAAGCAAGGTATATCCAGAATGATTAAAGCTTATAGAAAATGGAATAGCAGACAATTTTTGGTTTTCCTCCTCACCTAGCCCAATGGTAAAAAGATACTTAAAGAAACCCTGAAGTTTACCCAATTGCCACATTTGGCAAGAATACTTGCCATGCCATATAGTTATATAAGTTTATTTATTGTCTTTGCAAATAGATAGCTCTACATGTATTTAGCCACTAAGGAGTCAGTTATCAGTCCTATGTATCTTACCTGTTTACCATTTTCCTTGATTTTTATAACACTCTTTTTATATCATTTTATAGTCTCTAATGTTATTAATAATGCTATACCATTCTAATAATCATAATATCAGTAAGAATAATAACAGTATCATTATGAAGAGTGTTAGAATGAAAAACATATTTTCCTGCCATTTCAAGGAATGGGTAAGTCAGGTGCGATCATTAGGTACTCCTTGGTGGCAGAGTACATGTGGAGCCATCTGTATGCAACAAATTCACAAAAAGCTGCTGGGGACCACACATAAATCTGTGGTGGTTGGGTTAATGATGTTTTTTCATAAATTCTCACATCAGAAATGGTGAACTTTGTTAAACTGTTTTAGCACAAACTGGAAACTATCCTTGGCTTGCAGTACTTTACTGAGAGGAACCTCTACCTTCTGAGAAAGGGACCTCTACCTGAGAGATCTATGCCAATATTGGAAGTGAAGATTTGAAGAGATTCTGGAGGAGAGAAGATAAAAAGAAGAGGAGAGAGAGAAAAAAAATCCTTTGTAATGAAGATAGTGAAGAAACAGTAGGGTTCTTAGTATGCCAAACCCATAATATTCCTTTGTCTAATTTCAGAGACTATAAAAAAAATAGGTTTCCTTTACACTTCATCCAAGTTATTCTTAGAGTATATTTGATGCATTTAATTGGAAATGCATCATTATTTCAAGTAAGAATTTGCATGCTTTCTCCTTAAATACACTAACGTGCATACTATGAAATAGCAAAGCATGTTTAAAATGAAATCAAAATACTAAAATGCAGTCAAAACTAAGCATATTCAATAAAAGTATTGAAAGACAACATATCTCACCTGTTTCAGGTAGTAAGTAAACTTCTTGAGAAATTCAGGATCAGGGAAGAAGAAACTTTTGGACTTGTATAATATAAAGGCCTGTTTTGTCCTGGAGAAAGCCTCATGCAACTCCTTGAAGCAACCATCAAGTTTTTCTTGGGCCTCCTTTAAAAAAAAGAGTACATATGTTCAGTGGAATCCAATATATTGGATATCAAATCAAAATCTGAGGAAACAGAAGAATATCCATATTGGGCTGATAAAAGGTAATGTGAAATATTATAAATGTTTGATAAAATGGAAAAGACTATCTTACAAAGTACCTATACAATTAAAGTGGATCTTTTATTTAAAAAAAAAAAAAAATCTCTGAAATTTCAAACTGAAGTAATCATTTTGGGAGGACAAGATAGATAGAGAAACATTTAAAACAAGATAAGTCAACAATATGAAACACTAGATGAAATATACATGCTTTACAATACATTAAAAATACTATATTTTATTAGGTACAGGCTCTATCAAAGTGGATATTTTAACATGAGAAAGTACTGATTTCATGGAATTTAAAACTATATAGGAACCTTTTTTAGTGGAGAGGATAAATAAATAAGCAGGCACACAAGATTTCAGTTATAAGCTATCCAAATTAACAAACTTGCACACTGACAGATGCATTAAGCAGTCAAGCCCTAGGCCTATTTTGTGAGTAGAGCATTATTCACCACAGTCATGCATAAATTAACTAAAGGGCTCTATTCCCTAATTGTTTTCCCTTTGCAAGAGGTGTATGTAACATCCACTAACAAGTCTCTTCCTGTCTGCCAAGTCTCCTCCAGTCACACACACCCCCCACCCTGGCTAGAAAATTTGTTGTTTTGTGCGGAGAATATGAGGCTGCTGCAGCCTAAACTATGTTGTATCCTATTCTATTTCTACCACTCTATAAGATGGTGGTGTCCATTTCCCTTTATCTCCGTGCATTGCTATAAGTACCTTCTGCCTTATTCAGGTTTGTTTTTACATATGGATGGACTTTGTTTTGCTTTGTGTTACTTATGCTGGAATTCAAATGTTTACAAGAGCAAAAATGTTCAATGCTGCAACTCCAGATCGGCATCACTGCAAGCACTGAATGTTTTCCAACCTGGCCCCCAACCATACCCTCGTTCACTTTGTAGGCTCTCTTTTCCTGAGCCAATTACACAGTTGTGTTACCCGCCTCCTTTGCTATAAATATTCAGGTGTAATATCATGCTCTTAATATATTAAACATAAAAAAAAAAAAAACTTCGTGAAACTTGAAGAATCAGACATCATTTGGAGATGGGGGGAGGGGCAACCAAGCTTAAGGACATGAGACGCTACTGTCTAAGCTTCCGATTTTAAGGAACATACGAAAGGGAGTGGGGAAAAAATAAAACAGATGAAAACATTGCGTTAACATTTACATAACAAAACATGATTTTACCCAAGTGAATAACCAGTTTCAAGTAAAAAAAGTCAACATAAATCTCAAAGTGAACCAAAAAAAAAAAAGAAATGCCATAAGATCATTTCCACCTGGTGACACTTGTACACATCACGGAGATTTCCACATTCTCCTTGCTACTCAGACAGAAACATTGAAACTGTTGAGGTATTTACTGCAGAGCAATTGATCGATGGCAAGGGATCAGAGAACAGGAAATAACTTGCAGAAAGAGAAAAGTTCAGGACCGATAATCAAGGATACAACAGAACAAATAACGAAATGAGGAGCAAGAATGACACCAACAACACTGAACTAATTAAGAACTGTAACAAGAGTGACACGAGGAGCACTGAACAAATAAAGAACCATAAAAAGAATTATATGAATAACACTGAACAAATAAAGAACCATAACAGGAATAATACGAAGAACACGGAACAAACCGAGAACAGTGGGGAACAAGAGAGGATGATAAGACAACTGATCAAATAACAAAGTGAGTAACAAGAACATGAAGAACACTGAACTAATTAAGAAGAGTGTGGAACTATAACAGGAAGAACACTAAACAAAGAAAGAGATGAAGAAGAATACGAACACTAAACAAATAACAAGGAGTGAGGACCAAGAATGAACACACAAGACCCAGTACACATAGAGAAATGACAGTGAACGATTCGGAACGAGAAATAACCGCTGAAAATCCCCCCTGAAGGCAGAAATAAACGCGAGAGGCGTCGCTGAGAAATTTCTCGGGACAGATTCCACTTCCTCACCACTTTAACTCGGTGTCCCTCCTGATTCCTCTTCTTTCCGGGACTCGGCGCGACTTTCTTCTTTTCGGACTCACTCATCATTCCCTCGTTCCTCTTCCGCGGATCACAAACGCATCATCCAGGAGGAAAGCGCTTCAAAAATACTTCTCGGTGGTTTTGACTTCGTATCTCTCTGGGCAAGGCAACGGCGGGAAGACGGGGCAGGGTACGAGC